CAAAGGATAGGAGAGTAGCGGGAGAGGGAAAACATATCCGTAAAATAATTGTTCGTTACTGATTTACTCTTTTGAGACATTTTTATTCTATTTTCTTTTCAAAATAAACCTCTTTAAATGGTATTGTTTTTGAATTAAAGAAAAATATTGTTTTAGATAAAACATAAAGTGATGCAACATTTATTATAACGATTTCTGCAACAAGAAATAAACTGACTTTCTTGATGTAAAAGATTTGAAACTGTCAAATCACACAGCTTTTGACTAATTCTACTTACTTATTTCCCTACTTTCTCATATACAAAGTATTTACATCTGTGTGTGGTACATACAGTCTATAATAATGTAATTAACTAATCTTAATTGTAATTACGATCTTCGCGGCGTGTGGTAATCCGTAAATCCGGTGCCGTAATTTGCAATGTCTTAATTTAATTTATGTATTCAATCTGTGTGCAATTTGTACATACATTACATTGATTTAATATACAATACTGCCTTTATATACCTCTAGCATACTTGTAGTTAATTTAATATTACTGGGACGTTTAATCTGTCAAACACCAAGCGGTCACCGGTGACCGCGACCTATTGTTCTTTAATTGTGTCTATAAAACCGGTACTCGACGAGTTAAGAAGGCTGGCAAAATACTTGTAACTCATTTAGTGAGTTCCGCGGGTCCGTATCGGCGTCAACCCTATTGGGCCCCATCTGTGGTGGTCTGATGGCTCTTTCAGGCGCGCGCGGAAAGCGACACGCTGCACGCTCGGGTATAGTTCTGGTCGAGTTGCGAGCTACCTATACTCGCCGTCCGCAGGCCGGTGCTTACGGTGACCGGAGACTGTACGGTCTGTCTGTAACTGTACGGTGGTACTGACTAGCACGTAATTCTGATGTTCATTATGACACAATACACCATGTCCTTTACAGAAAAAAATCCGCGGACTTAACGGGTTGCCGGGGTTCCGCCTCTCCGGGCGAGAGAAGTCATAGAGTAATATTAATCTCCCCTCAAAAAAAAAACGAACTACTTTGAGAATAATTCACAATTTACTATTACAGCTAAATTAAGCTACATAGGTTTTTTAGTATATGTCTATTCTTATTGTTATACTAGAACAACAAAAGTATATTTTATCAGCCAATTGGTGGAAAATGAGAGGACTATACATCTTCCCTCCTATGGTACAGGTGCATTGTTAATGTGTCATGCCGTCGAAATATTAAAACGATATTCAGCAAAGTGAACTGGAGTGCGTCGCATACCGATCACCTGTGGCGAGTTAATAACTTATTAAGGGTACTTGTCACTGCTATATGGGTTGGGTAAATTGTGTTTAGTGCAGTTTTCATGGTTTCATGTCTCCATGGTTAATTTGGTTATCAAGAACATTATGTGGTGTTTTTCATAATAATAATGCATTAATAGGTTAATGTTGAAACTGTACGCTAACGTCACACTAAAATCATAAGAACAGAACGCGTATATTCAACCACAGAAAATGTTGCCAGCTAAAACATAAAATGTTGACTTTTTGATTAAATTAATCTGTTAAAATACGTGTAATGCTGTGGACTGAAGTTTAATGTCACCAGCAAATGTATTTCAAATATCAGCCTCCATTTAAATTACAAATTCGCTCTGTTTCACACAGAAGTTTCATGTAAGATCCGAATTTCATTTCTAGATATTCTTAACACCACGCTCCGAACATCAGCAGATGATTTACTTCAAAAATTAAATTTACAAAATTATGCGCTCACGTAAAATGTTCTCGGTGGAAATATTATAATTACTTCTTAAAACTCCAGTATTCCGCTGTCGCTCGCAACTTAACCCACAAGTATTATACGTCTCTTTCTAACGATTAATCTACTTGAAAGTTAAACAAAGTATTTTGTACAGTTGCGTGCAAAACTGATAAAACAAATTCACCAATTGTTTTGACAGGTTGATAGAAAGAGACAGCATATGTTTTATGAGTTGCGTTTAAGAAAATTTATTACTTTATTTTATTAATAAATCATAACTTTTAAAACAGATTTCGTTTTCGTTGTTAGGTTATGAATACACCTGAGCGGTGTCGTCGGAGTTCGGAGACAGACTAAAATGTTAATATTTCATAAATATTAAACTCTGACGTCACGCAACAGTTGGTTCCGTTGGCTTAGGGATGGCAATTCTCATTGTGCGGTGAAAGGCGAAATAATTAATTGTTGTTCCTGTAGCTTATTTGCTTAAAAGATCTGGTCACAAGACATGGCAACGTCTTTTGTTATAAAGTTTATTAGACAGAATGAATGCATAAATTGTAAAATTTCCAAATTTCTTTATGAAATTTATTTTTTGAGTATGTAGTTTGTCTACAACAAAATAAAATATTATTTGTAAATATTAAGATTGTAAATTAATTAAGAGACTAAGTAAACACTTTCGTAGACGATTGTACTTGGTAAGTGGAGCGTGCAGACAATCAGGTTGTGTCCGTCTGCGTATAATGAAACAATTTACTTTAGACCACTCCGCACCATATCAGTAGTGTTATGACAAGACTGTTCTGAGAAAAAAAATGTTCGTAAGTCGTAAATTTGATTTTTCCTATGATATCGACGCAAGTTGCATTATAATATCTTAGAAAATTCTAATTGATGTTGAATATTTCTCTAGTATACTCGTATAACTTGCCTTTTCGATCTTGTTACCTAAGGCCTTAGTACGAGGATGTTTTACGTTTAAGGTAATCGAAACGACTCCGCATTCGGTGCTCTAATTGGCCGGTTCCAATTAACTAGCCAATCACAGAGCCGAACGCGGTCTCGTTTCGAAGAAGACGAAGAAAACGAAAAAAAATTCGTACTAAGGCCTCTAAATAATTTATTTACCTTTATCATAACGTTTTTTTAAACAGTCACAACGTCAGAAAACCCAATTACAGTAACTGTTTAGAAGTTACTGGTAATTCTGTAGTTTTACTCTAGATCTACTAGACTAATCAAGGTGCCACTTACGATATAAACCATCTTTACATCTGCCAATATGGAAAATCAGGTGTCATGGTTACAACAGATAATTATTTTAGGGATTTTATTACCAACCTCTGCTTAATCCAGTATTTTATGCTTTTGATTGAATTGGGTACTTTCCTTAATTAAAAATAAATTATTTCGACTATTCAATACAATAAAATATTAAAAAATAATCAAGCTCTTTAATTGACTTATAACCAACTTAATTTTAGTATTTTTCAGCTAATTTTTAAGAAATATTTCGTCACAATTCCCAATCTTCAACAGTTCGAAAAAAATATTCGTTTTGACTAGTTGTCTAATACCGTATTGAAAAACGAGTACATAAACCAAAGAAAATGCATTTTGTTTCTCAAAAGCTTTATCCTGTATACTCCCATCGGTACTGAACAATTCAGCATCAAGGTTTTGTGGGAAACTGAACCGAGAGCGATTGAAGTACAAAAGTTCCGCTTTTCAGTCGTTTCAAGTGTAAATGAGTTTCAGTTCGGCACCCCCTTTAATTCAGTTTTTCATCCTATTTAGGTTTTACAATAGAGGCCTTCGTTTAACCTTATTTGCATATTATTTTAAATATTGTTGACAATAAAGAAATTGTGCCGCTATGAGTGGGGTTTCTGAACCTTTTTGTATTTTTTTAATAGTCTCATTTGATAGCTCTAAACACTGGTAACAAATAATGACAGCAACTATTGACTTTGATGAGTTATACAGGGTTACAGGTTAAGTGGATATAAATCTAGTAACAGATGGTAGTTGCCAATATTCCCGCCAATTAGACTAGGGAGCCTCATATCTCAAACTTAACTGTTCTTTTTATGTTTTGTCTCTCAATTTGGTTTTGTTTTTCCTTTTTTGTACATCCACTTTTCATAGTTTCTTTCTCTAGACATCCCTAGCTAGATCTCTATGATCACCAACTAGAATAAGAACAATGCCAAAAATTACAAAACGTTTATTTTTACTTACCTTTTGTTTCGTTTCTTATATCACGTACTTATTTATTATTGACTTTTCAAGTATCTTTAACATTTTTTCAGTCACCTTTTTCAACAACTCTTCATAAAAAATCCAAATACTTTATTCCTCAATCTTTAAATTGATGGCACTCCTTGCTAATGGAACTTCAACCGCATCCCTTAGACTTAAGAAGTAGGTTTAAAGAGTCTTCTCGGTCGCCATTCACTTCACACTTATGAGGAAAGTGAAGGAGCTGGCAGACAAAGGCAGCAATAAGCCTGAGGGTGCTTCATACCCCGGCTGACCTGAAGATGTTTGAACAGCATTGAAGTTGTGAAAGACTATTCAGTGCGACTGCTCCAGTTTTGTAGTAGTCAGACTGACCTGCGGCTTGCATGTAATTATAATCAATCAGAATATTAGAAAAATAAAATTATTCCTTTGGTGATCGTAAATCAACGTAGTATTTTTGTAGGAAATGGGGAAATGGTTTCTTCATGTAGTAAATATTTATTTATTTATACTACTTCATTGCACACAGAGAAAAAATTGTATATATTGCAATAGTAATTTGAGTACAATGGGCGGTCTTATCACAGGCGGCGATATCTTCCAGACAACCTTTGGATGTATTTTTTTAAAAGATTCTGGGAATGAGTGGTATATTGTGTTTGGTTGAAACTATACTCATAGGACTATTCCTATGATAGACATCTTGAAGAATATCTAAAACATTGAAAGTCATACTTTGAATGTAGAAATAATAAGTATCTCAGTAGACATTTGTGACGCAGTGATAAATTAGGTTTTGTTTGTATCACGAGGGCTTTTAATTTGACAATTATTATGAGACAGTTGACGTCAAACCTAATAGTATGTTTTATTACGCTACATAGAAAAAAAAACATCTTTTTATCGATATACTTAGCACCGAAACTGGGCTACTTAGATGTTACATTTTAGCTGTAGTTTACTGTATACTTTATCTAAAACCCACCCTCTATTGTTACAGAGGTGACAGTAACGTACCGGCGCGGTTTGCCGGTACTCACCATACCGCTACCGTCACGGCGCGAGCGATGCCGCTTCACACTCCGTCCCGTCTCGCAAACTGTCGGCGATCTATTAGAACAGGTGAGCTCACTTTGTTTAATTGGAAATTCTATCTTTTGCTTCGGTGGTAGAGTTTAGTTTTGAATGGGTGATGGAGATGTTTGGGTTGTTTTTTGTGGATCGTAGGAAATTGTTGAGAGTTTGTTTGTTAAGAAAGAAGTTTTATTGACTGTTGATTACTAAAGAATGGCCAAATTAAAAATATTCTTAACCGACGAGTATACATGAAAAGACTGATGATTGTTGACGAAGCGAAAGAGGTATATATAAGAATTGTGGCAATTGCCTTTCCATAGCGTCTGCCACACTTACACTGACCAATCTAGAATGTACATGACTTAAAGTCTGAATCTACACGCCTACATAAGTAATATAACTAATAGGAATATTGTGTAATATTACTAGACGACACCCAAAAATTTAAAGTATTGCTGTTAAATAATAGATTTTGATTACTAAACTGCTTCATTCCCTTGTTAGTCAATTTATTCTCAACCATCAACAGGTGGACGGCCACAATGGCTAGTCTACCTTTACAGCTATGATTAATTTATGACGGAAATATCGCGAAATGATTGCTTTAGTAGTTGGCTACGTTCCAACCACAATGCAGTTCCCATTCTTCATATTGTTTTTGAAATTATTGATTGAGCTACTAACGAGACTGCTGGTAATAATATTGGATTATATCTGAATTCTTGGTAATAGGAAAATTACGTCTTATTTAAATATTGTTTATTTATATATTCGTTTATGTAATGTATAGCGCATAATTGTTTTATAAACTATGTTTCAAAAACTGACTTCAACCGCCGCCCCCTTTTTTGAAGTCGGTTTATCGATATACTAAAATCTTCTTTTAAGTGTAACAACCAGTTTGCTGCAAACCGCATGAAATTCGGTTTGGCCAATCACGAGATAACCGGTCAAAAACTTTCTTTTTGAACTCTTTTCTCAGTAGTAGCACGGAGCCTGGAATTGTGCCCGGTATATGGCAATAGGCTCACCCCCTATTACATGGAGCTCATAACATTAATAGTGAAAAGTGGTTGTTACATTGTACAGTGATATAATGTGCACCTCTGCCTACCCCTTCGGGGATAAAAGGCGTGATGTTATGTTATGAATACATAATATTATACGGGCTATGCCTATAGGATTCCTATACCTAAATACCTTCAGAATTGATGTTGACTTCGCAGACCCGTGAGTGCTAAACTCACTCTTGACATAATTGGCTCACTCGCGTACTCAAGTGGCGCTATTTGCATATCGCTATGTTAGACGTATAAACTTTCTATGTTATACGCCTAGTAAGGGTGTTTACGAGAACTATGATTAGTGTAAGTGTATTACAGTACTTAATCTATTTAATGTCAATCATTTATTTAATATAATAACCTCGAAGCGGTGACAGAGGTTCGTTTATAATTTAAATTTACAGTTTTTTATGGAATAAACGAGCCGACGGATCACCCGATGGTAAAAGCAATCGGCGTCGCCCATGGACACCCAAAACACCATAGACGTTACAAGTGCGTTACTTGCCTTTTGGGGATTAGTAATTTTAGAATTGTTGAGGATTCAGGGATTGGGGACGGGTGACGGGGTTTAGTGGGCCTCGGATAACCTCTGTCAAGTCAGTCGAAACATAAAGCAAACTTTGTTTCACGTCGGTTCTCTGTGGGGTCGAGGTATCAGTCCGGTCGATCCGGCCCAATCCTGCCTAATTATAGCTCCCCCACACCCCACACTGGTAAATTAGCAATTTAAGTATGTGAGATGATTTTTGTTACTAGCACTAGACACGGTTCGTGATTTAGTATTATGACTTTTGTCTCAATTAAGTTTTCTATCTTATAATACAGTTATAATTAAAGACTTATTAGTGTATTTTAAAAGATTTTTTTAACTCCAGGTGAAGGCTGAGGACCGTGGAGTGGAGCGCGCGGCTGCGCTGGCGGCGGATGAGCGCGTGCGCATCGCCGCGAGCGACACCATCGAGGCTTTATTGGAGAGTGACTTCCGACTTATCATCAACGACACAGAATACTACGTCAAGACACCGGCACAGGTTAGTTAATAGTAAATAGTTTTTTATAATAGTTTAAGCCTAGAATCGAACTACTACTACTATGTACTTCTTACGTTGTTCAAAAGTAAAAATAATAAAGTAAATTATTGATTTGTAGCCAAAAAAGATTTGTAGCACGCGATAATTACACTTGTGACAGTTTTGGAAAATCGCAGATAATTCTCATTGTTTTAACCCAGTCAAACATTTAGAAAGAAAGATAAAAAGAAAGACCTTTTATTACGCAACGACACACCCGTAGATTTGGCTCTATAGTTGCATGAAGTCTATTAATCATCATGTAGATATGTACTTAGATGACTGATTTATGTACTTGAACAACATAATTACACTGATTATTGGTAGGATCGTGGTTTTGAAATCACTTAAGCTTGAGTCTGTATATCCTAATGATCAGTAAATGTTTGTTCCCTAACAAACACTGACGTTACACCCGCACACTGAACGTGGCTCACTTCACAGTCAATGTATTACTGACCGCAGCTTTCAGGTTTCTGAACGTTAATAGCTAACTAGCATGTACGAACAATTATTTCGTAGAGCTTGATCGTTTGGATCATGATTTTGTACAAGTATTTTGCTTCCCATATAACTTACAGATCAAAAGTTATTCGACTTCTTTACAACGTTTATAAATTCCTTTATAAATTAACGTTTATAATTTTAGCAAAATGCAATTAGTTATTGTTATCCTATACTTAGGTCAATTGTTCTGAAATAAAACCTATTTCTTCTTGACTGCCTCGTTGGCCGAATGGTCGCAAGTGCGACTGCCGGGCAAGGGGTCCCGGGTTCGATTCTCGGGTCGGGCAAACTATTACTGGGTTTTTAAAAAAAATCTCAGTATTAGCACGGAGTCTGGAAATGTGCCCGGTATATGGCAATAGGCTCACCCCCTATTACATGGAACTCATAACATAAATAGTGAAAAGTGGATGTTACATCGTACAGTGGCATAATGTGCACTTCTGCCTTCGGGGATAAAAGGCGTGATGTTATGTTCTTCCTTACTAAAATATCTTGGCAACTTTAAAATTTAATTTCACAACAATCTAGCCAAGAAAATTAACGGAAATTCTCTTTTGGTAAATCCCGACTGCATACTAATAGTACAGTTTAACTACATATTCGCTCAAGTACATATTGTTGTTTATCAAGCTGTAATTGGCGGTTGGCATGGCGCCACCTGCTGCAGCGGCCCGCTCGGGCGCTGCTTATGGCACAGAGGGTCATGGCGATCCGAATGATCCGCGGATACCGCACGATCTCTGGGGAGTCGGCGAACCTCCTTGCCGGATTACCGCCGTGGGATCTGGAGGCGAAGGTGCTCGCGCGCGTGTATCGCATGCGCGCGGAGGCACGTCGCCGGGGCGAAACTCCGCTGCCGCGCCAGATAAGTGCGTGGCGGGATGAGCTCCGGCGCGATCTCATGACGGAATGGCAGCAACGACTGTCGCAACCGAGGGCTGGGCTCGCTGCCATTGCAGCGGTAAGTCCCCTCTTTGAGGAGTGGCTTGAGAGACGCTACGGCGTCCTCACCTACCGCCTGACGCAGGTCCTCACCGGACATGGAAGTTTCGGGAGGTACCTGTGTCTGATGGGGCGGGAGGAAACGCCCGGGTGTCATCACTGCGAGGACCACCCTGAGGACACGGTGGAACACACTGTTGCGGAATGCCCTGCGTGGGCTGAGCACCGCCGTGCCCTCAGGGAAGTGATCGGCGATGGAGACCTCTCGCGTCCGGGCCTAGTTCAGGCCATGATGCGGAGCGAGGGGGACTGGGATGCCGTCTCCTCCTTTTGCGAAGCAGTCATGCTGGCTAAGGAGGAGGCGGGACGCGTGAGGCAGCGAAGCGCTGCCTCCTCGCAACCCAGCCATCGCGAAGGACACACCGGGCGTCGGGGATCGCGGGACGATCTCCGGCCACCGTAAGCGCGGGCCTGCGGACGGCGAGCATGGGTGGCTCCCCGTCCGACCAGAAACAGACCCGAGCGTACGGCGCGTCGCGTTCCGCGTGCGCCTCAAAGAGCCATCAGACCACCACAGATGGGGCCCAATAGGGCCGATGCCGATTCGGAGTCGCGGAAAACCTAACGGGTAACCGGGGCTCCGGCTCGACGTGCAGGAGAAGGAACGGGGTGGTTTTTAGTCAGTAAGAGTCTGACACTCCCTTCCGCCTCACCCAGGCGGGAGCAGTCATTCGATGATTTTCCCCCCTTAAAAAAAAAAAAAAAAAAAAAAATCTCCTCGCATGTGGACAGTCCTTAGCCGGATGGCTATTACTCAATACCAGTTCGATTAGCCGCTATAGTCGGAGCTCAGTCGTGTGAGCTTTGATTATGGAATATAGTGCATAGAGTTGGTGTGATTTAGTTTAGGATTATAACTGATCAGAGTGCTCTTTGATACCAGATGAGACTGGAATTTAAAGTGTTGGGAAAAAAGTTTAAAGTAAAAATAATCGTTTGGCTTCGGTTTTATTACTATTTTCACTGGCATTTTCTTCCAGATTATTACACAAACTTAACAGGTTCTTAAGCTTAACAACAAGTTGTCCTATAAAACATGTTTAGTGGTACTTTGATTATTTAATCTCGTTGAACGTTAATCCCGACAAACTACCTCTGAAATAAACTAAATTAAAACATTATCCAATTTAATATACCTACAAAATCTTGAATCTCCATAAAAACGTTATCTGGACAAATAAAAGAAAATTGCTTCCTGATAGAAATACTCTTAAAAAAGTCAAACAAAAATCTAATTTACTGTACGAAAATAGTCCTAGGTGAAAATGGAGTGACGTCATAATACAGCGTGGGCGGCCATCTTGATAAGCAAATAAAAGAAATACTTTGAGCCGGCTTTTGTTTTAGTACCTACTTCAAACATAATCTCTGACAGAAACACAATCTTGATTAATAGTGGAGGAAACCATTTGTTAATTGTTTTCGTCGGCCATCATTCTTTTAGATAATTAGTTGTTGTCAAATTAAATGTAATGTTATTTTACTGAATTCTGACATTTTCGGCATGATATTCACTCATATACAACATAGAAATCATTACAGCTAGACCATTATGTGATATATTCCTACACCAAGTGCAATTTTGTATAAAATGTGCGCTAAAAGTGAATACTGGATGTTTCCACCGAATTATTCCGTGCTTTAAAATATCTTTGGTGGTAAAACAGGGAATGATAAAATTTTTTAGGTAGGTAGTAATAAAAACTTTTCGTTAATTACTGTTTGGTGATGAGTTCTTGGCAAACTCATCAAAGTTAATAAAATAGTAATAATCTCAGTTGGGATTTGATCTCAGTGTACAAACTCGTAACGGTCGTAGGTATAATGTTAGTGCTCCGGAGCAGGTCTCTTCAAATGGCCCGAAGCCCCTTACAGATGCTGAGGGTGGCCACCGGGGTGGTTTTAGTGGGGTAAGAATCCAACATTCCCTAGTCTTTCTCCCCAAAAAACTAGGCGCATTTTGATGGTTTCCCCCCGACATAAAAAAAGTATAATATTAGTAAAACTTTAAAATATTCGTAGGAAAACAATGTAAGTAAAAGCCTACACAATTTGGTGTACTAAACACCAGATCACTAACACGAGAAAATGTCCCCAATGGGCTAATGTTCGTTTTTCTTGGACAAAAAACCGAAAATATCCCTTTGTGGTCACAGTGTAACCAAATAGAAAAAGGACCTTATAAATCTACTTTAACCCACACAACGCCAATCTTGCGTAATACTTCTCAAAGTGCTACATAAAACCTTTACTACCGGATAATAAATACCCGGGTTGTATAATGTCTCCTCTTAATAAAATGTAGTGGACAGGAAGGAATCCATTACTCGAATTAATAGTGTATAATTCTAAGGGAATTGTGTGTAAAAAAGGGATTCTTAGGTAGAAAGCTAATATTCCTACCGAGCTTTTACGTGGTTTAAAGTAAACTATTTTCTATTTATAAAATACTAGCCTTTTCCCCGTGGCTACTCAACTACTGCTGAAAAATGATTTTTCTGTGGTAAGACGATTTTTCAAATTGACTGATGAAAAATAAAAATTAATCCAATGTATCTGCTTTTTTGTTTTGTTTTTTTTATTTATATTTTCTGTGCCGGCGTTTGACCACTATATCACCTGAAGGTGAGCGATGATGCGGTCTGCGATCCAACGCGTGCTCCAGCACGTCGTCTCATAAGTAACTTATTTAACCTCACAGTCAACCTCACGCCTGTCTCATGGGGGTAAAAGACAGGTGTGCGGTTATGTATGTACCTCTATATGTAATAATTATTGTGTTGACGAATATTATAATTCATAGATACACACCTATACATAATGTTTGTTTGTTTATTTGTTTGCGACTCTAAATCAGCCGGCCCTGTAATGTTAGGGACTGTGAAAACAGATTATCACCCCTTTACGGTTTTCGCGCGAAAAACAAGTAATTTACATTATTTATGAAAGAGATATGACTATTATGTTTGTAAAGTATTACAATATACTACTTTATGTCCATGGTTTGGTCTAGCATTTTTGCTACCTTTGACATCACTTATGATAATTGTAGCAACTATATTGTACTTTTGTATTTATGTCGGTTTTGTAAGAAAAACTGATATTTACTAGTTATTTATCCGAATCAACATAACATTTAAAAAGTAAAAAAAGAAAAACACAAAATAAACAGAACAACATCACCAAGGACAACATCAAAAAGGGTCAGTTGCAATCTCACATGTATTTCACCCACTGTGCACGCCAATTAGTTTTACTAAATTACCGACCCACTGGCCTAATGGGTGCAATTAATTTGCTTAAGTGCCAGTAATTGTCCTTGGTCACCTACGTTCTGGTTTTTCTATTTTGTTTCCAAGGTAGGCGCCAAAAGTACCAGTGGGCGGGATTTTTAAACACTGTTCTGGTTAATTACTGAGAAATATGCAACGAACGGGGATTTTAATTGC